GCTCTAGACAATCATTGGTATGATGACCTTGGTCTCCATTTTCTGAAGAGAAGTTCAGAGATTGGGTTCTAGTTCTTTTTACCTTTTAGGAATTTTCATTATCATCCCTTTTGACAAAAGAAAAACAGATTAGAAACAACCAAAAACACTCAACACAACTTGTTTAAAAGGTTTTTTCTTTTTCTGATTATCTCAAAGTCAGAGAGCCCAAGTTAATTACCAACCTTGATTAGCCTATGAATTGACTATCACTTCCCAGTACTGTCCTCTAGGGTAGTGATTCTTCTGGAAGCAGGAGTTTGATTAGGGAGTATGGAGTGGTACTAGTAGCCCCAACTTCTGGTACCATACCAGCCACTTTAACTATTCTACATACAAAATTACCTTCTTCCACCGATCTCAAACACTGGAATTTGGCAAAGGCTACTTTGCATTTATGTTAGCACGTGCAAGTAAATCCTACCATGAATGAAACTTGCATCTTCGTGTTCCAGCTGAACTTTTCCACATATCTCCTCTTACCTGTTGCTCCCTCCACCCAGTAAAACACTTGTGGGAAATTCCAGGACCCACGTTACCTGAATGTTGATAGATTTTACAACTTTTCCCCATGCTATTTTCTATACAACTTTTGAAAATACTAAGTAGCGAAAAAAATAATCTGAAAGATCAGCTGAAGAAACATGTACCCTGGTTGTAACGTATGTTTCCACCGGCAGTTTTTCTTCACATTATAGAGCAGTCTGTGTGGTGTGATGACCTTGGTCTCTGTTTTCTGATTTGGTTTAGAAACAACCAAAAACACTCAACACAACTTGTTTAAAAGCTTTTCTCTTTTTCTGATTATCTCGAAGTTGAAGAACCCAAGTTCATTACCAACCTTGATTACTGACCACGGAATACCTATTTTTTCCTTAATTCTTGAACAAATTATAGCATCTCACATTCTTTGGCTAAATAAGAGTGAGAATATTACCTTAGATGTACAGAAAACCTTCCCTCCTACGACCTGGAAGATGCTTGCTTTCTTGAGCAAGTCTTTCCGCCACAATGTGAGAAGAAACGGCTTTGCTCTAACAGGTTGCTCTGTATTGCATAGAACAGAGCAATTGAGAATCTAAATGTTTCCCTTCCCATTGGTACCTCTATCATGGAAAATCATAACTTGTTTATAGTTTGTTAAACCCTCAAATATGCATCTGATTAACCTGATTTGGTGTTTCCCTGTGATGGGCACATATCTGTTTTGATAATCACTTTGAAAGCACATTTCCTCTTCAAATATTGTGGGATTGATTTTCTTTTTTATTGTACAACATCCAGTTGCCGCAAGGAGTCCTTAAGAGAATACTGCTTATTTAATTATTATCCATGATTCTTTTATTTATAATAAAAGCAGTAACAGCAACAACATATTTTTATGTGACCAAGCTTTTTGCTACATGCTTTGTTTGTATGAACTTGATGCACCATCAAAATAACCCTACAATATCGATTTCTCATTTCTACTTACAGGTGAGAAACTGAGGCACAGAGAAGTGAACAGCCCTAAGATCACCAACAAGGAAGAGAGACACTCTTAGAACCCAACCCAACACCACCTCCCTGCCATTGGGGGTTCCAGGTCCTTGGGAGTGGAACCCCATGCACAACGGCCTTAGTCGCCTCTGTCTTCCCAGTATCCAGCCCAGTCTGTAGACTTAGCAGAACAGAAGTGTATTATCATGGAGATAATGGAATACATGCTTTAGGGACTATCACTTTGTGGTTTTCTAAAAAGTTATGAGTTACTGATTCAACTGCAGTGAAGACTCCCTTCTCTTTCCATTCTGATTCCCTCCCTCTTCACCACATTTCCCCTGCTATTAGGTGATGTTGGGTTGGCTGTGGGCATTTCTGGGAGAGTCTATGGAGAAACTGAAGTGGAGGATACATTTAGTCTGGGCTTAGAAATGTGTGTTTGATTTGTAGTCACTTCCAAACTCTGTACTCCGAACTTCTGTACTCTGTCACGTCATCCCTGTGCAGTATTGGGGGTCTGTATTGCAGTAGTCAGCCCCCAAAATCTGAGTAGTGGAGAATTTTGGAAACAGAGCCAAAAGCTGGTCTCTGTAGGCAATCATTTTAATCTCAGCTTTTACGTAAGTGCAAGCTGACAGAATTATTCCAAAATCTGGAAAAATTCCTAAAATTTTACATGTGATTACATGTAAAATAATGTGTTAAAAATAATCTTAATTAACAATTATTCTTGAAATAGGAAAAGATACTATAGAAGTGTTATTATATGATGGGTTAAAGTATATGCAAATAAGAAATATGGGGGGAAGTGTTACAGATGTGTCTGTAATACTACAGGTAGTTAAACAAGGTTTCCATTATTTTTCTTGAATTTATTAGATATATAGTTTCTATCATATTTTTTAAATTTGAAGTTTGTAGTGACTTATTTTCATACTTGATTTCAGACTGTGAATATTTTATATTCCTTTTCTTTCACAGTCCCTTCAAATTATATAAGCTTCAGGTGCCTTAAAAAATGGGATCTGCCCTGAGTATGTGCTAAAAATGCATGTCACAATGAGTTAAGTCGAAATGACTGGAAAGCCCATGGAAACTGTGTCTCCAGATTCAGAATGGAGCTCCCGCAACTGTTGTTTCCTTTTGCAAGTGTGTGTTCCCCTTGTCCCATCAGCAAACGGGAGCACCTTCTAGGTTCAGGAAGGAGACTTTCCAGCTGTTGTGCTTAGCTGTGACTGTGTGCATGAGGTGAACTCTCTCTCTGAATGGCTGGTCATAGCTGTGCTTTTGTCTTCCTGACAGGGATTTTCCTGGTGCCATGTTGCTGCCACCACGAAACCATTTTCTCAAGGAAGGGTGGGCCCTGGCCACCAGGGGGCGCATGATCTCAGAAGTAGAGTGCACAGAGACATCCTGCAACTGCATCTACTTAGCCTGAAACAGAAATGACACAACAATTTGTAGGCGCAAGAGAGGAGGAAACTGAAGAGTAAGAGAACTGTGGACAGGCATTTGCACAGCCCTGAAGCCCTGCTGTCTTCACTGCTCATATCTTTCTAAGGAAAGATGGCCCATGAAACGCCCACTGTGATAAACAATTGACCCTCCGGCAGAGGCATTCACAAACACCTGACTAATATCATCAAGCCCACACACATTCAGGAAAAACTGTAATTCAAACTTTTCTTTGTGTTCTATGTTAAATCTCATTTTCAAAATATTAATAGTTTTTCAAACTAGGGATGAATTCTTACAGTTTCTGTGTTTTGACTGAGGAATCATTTTACAAAGGGCTATTTTTTTCAGTAAATTCTATTTCCACTGTTATGCTTTTAGCCACTAGTCTTAAGAGCTCTGTCCCATCAAGAACTATTAAATGTATATCAAACGTCATCTTTGCTTTTAGTTCTGGTTCTGTCTGTGATTGCAGGGGTGAGGTGAGAGCTTCAAATGCTTCAAAGGAAAACACATGCCAAGCTGATTGATGAGAGAAAAGCCATTTCAGACATCGTTTTCTGTTTGATTTTATAAACAAACCACTTTAAAGAAATAAACCAAGTATAAACCAAGTAAAATTCCAGAAAAATAATACTGGTTCAGATATTATTTTAAGGACAATTTCTTTTTACATATACCCACAGTTCTGCAGTCAATACACTCAACCTTGTCTGCTATTCTTCAAAAGCTGGGCTCATGGAGACACTTTAAATGGAGATTTACAATATATATTTCAAATAGGTCTAGAAAGATATTTTAAATCATATTTCAATTTTATTTTTAAGAACATATGAAGTTTATAGAAAGGAGTTGGATATATAAGCAATGTGTGAGAATGTGTAAATATTAGAATATATGATTATAAATACATATTCAGAAAGAAAGCCACAAGAAAGGAAATTGTGGTATATTTATTTATCCTATTTACTTTCTAAACTACCATCTAAATATAGGTTCTTCGAAGGATGTCTTAATATTTCATATTAACATTACAAATAACTCAGAATCCAAATTGAATTTGTCTGGAATGGGGTTAGGTGATGTTTTCAAAAATGCCCCAGAAAATACTAATATGCAGCCAGAGCTAATCATCTCCTGGATTGTCAGCTTGCTCAACATGGGGAAAATTGACCTCCCCACAAAGCTTTCAGAAATTATTCTTTTGGGGAGCTTTTTAGCACTCTAGGACATCCAACCTCCCAATAAGAGAGAACTCTTTTAATAGTATAGTCAGCCTGGTTCATCTGGGCAAATATATAATTAAAAAATATTTCATTGAGTGGTGATTAAACAGTTTAATTATTATAACATTTCACTAGTTTATATTTTTATATAGTTTTATAATTTTTGGCCTCTATATTAAGTGGTTTTCAGCTTTTTGGCCTATTGAAAATTATGTATATATACACATATATATGACTTACATACATATATACACATATGTGTATATATATTAGATAGAAATATATATACTGGAGAGAGAGAGAGAACACTGAAATATAGATCTCACTCAATAGTTTTCCTGGGACAGGTATCATTTTAGCTGTGTCCATGCTGACTGATAGTAGTTCATTCTAGAAAAAAATTATTTTATGCAACAAAGAATGAAATGTGGTGTACAGGAAAAAAATAATAAAGCTTAACAGATCAATCATCAATAGTAAGTGATAGCAACTACCGGTAAATTAAAAACCTGATTGATTTTCCTTGTCACACATTTGTTATTGTCCATAGAAAAATTTCTGAAAGTTCTTAACTACTTCACAGAATCATGAAGCTGGTTGGTCCTGTCTTTGCCAACACTCAAGAGGCTTTAGGGTCTGAAAACCCAACAAGAGCATATTATGGGATTTACCCAGGAGGTCATCCAATCTCACTTTGCTGAAACATTCTCCTTTCAGTAGTGATTGCTCCTTAGCACATCTGGGAACACAAGGGACTTTGACGCCAGGCAAAGAAAACTGCCACTAAACTGTTTCCTAAATGGTAGGATTTATTTAAATGCTCACATACAATTGAATGAGACAAACTATTTACATAAAACCTAGGTACAAAAAATATAATACACTTTAACTGTACATAATCAGGATTCTCTTATCTTTTTTCCAGATAGAGGTGAGGAGGGCATTGCTACGGAAGGAAGAGTGCTGCACTGTTAGCAGGATGTAGGATTGTTCCTTATGAATTTACTGTCTTAAAAAAGATGAGTAAGTTTGGGTTACAGGAATTGGCAACTTACCAAGAGCGGAGAATGAGCATGGCATTTTCACCTCTGTTAACAATAGCGCATTTTAACATATACATCTGTCTGTTTTCCTCCGGAGTCCTGGCTGGGAGAGGCGTGAGTTGGCTTCTGCTGATAGGCTGGATAACCCCAGTCTACCCCTTCCTTCTCTGAACTCCCGCAACTGAGTCAGTCAAACAGGTAATGAGCTCCCTGGGCTACTGCAATTGGTGTCTTAAATGGATTTTTGAAAACAATGTATCTGTCAGGTGTTGTTAAACAACTTTCTTAGATATAGACCTGGACATCTCTCATGTGCACACTTAAGACCAGTGAACTGACGAACAGACAAGATAACAGTGAAGACCATTGGAAATTTGTATTTCACATTGAATGTAAGAACTGGAAAAAAAGTCTGGTATGCTCATAGACCCTGTGAGTAACTACTCAGCAATCCACAAACAATCCAACAGGGCAACCAAAACCTTTTTTCACTCAAGTGAAGGGGAAAGCGATGTTATCTCATTCTTAAAAAGCTCCATTATGATTAATATGTGTGTGTGTGTGTGTGTGTGTGTGCGTGTGTGTATCCTTTTTAAAAAATGAAAGAATCCCAAATAAGTTTATTTTCTATCATAAAACAGCAACAGCAAATTAACGGAAGGAGGCTTTTAAAAGTACATAACATTTTCAAAAGTCACATCAAGTGGCCTAACAAAAACGTTTTGTGATACACCTTTGAAGAATCCTACACTGCACCCAGTTTGTGCATTTTCTTTCCCGATGATGTAGTATTTGGCAGTGAGTGTAGGTGCTTAAGTTAAACGTTCTTACTGTGCTTTCTTTCAAAGTGTGGAAGTTCAAGTGTGACTTTGGTCATCAGTCATGGTACAGAGGAAAAGACATAGACTTTAGCAGAGAAAATGCCATTAACCTCATCCTAAATTAAGAGTAACAGCTTTGTGAACTCGTGAAGCAGCTTTGATGCTGACTTAAAAAAAGAAAGAACACAAAACAGCAGGCAATATTCTATGAGGTTCTCATTCCTCTCACCTTGTCTGTGGCCACTGTCGCCAGCCTGTGTCTGATTTTCTTCTATCTATGGACTTGCCTGAAGAGGGACAGTAACAAAAGTTTGTAACTTCTACAGGCATCCGTTGACATTCCTACTACAGGGCAAATGCTAAGGTGTTTGCAGGAGGGTGTAAGATGAAAGTGATGTCAGTTTCTGGAAGGCCAGGCTGGGTTCACTGTCGTTCTGAACATTCCTTGGCCCCTATTCTGGAGCCACATCCCAGTAGGGGGTGAAGATCATATCTGAAGATGATGTGCTTCTTAGTCATTTTCTATTCCTGAGTTCAAAGAGGCATAGAAGAATGATTTTCTTTAAAGAACAGCCAGTCAATCCCCTACTTTAAATTGGAACCAATAATATCCAGATAAAATAATAAATCATTTTAAACAAGGCACTGGCAAATTTTTATAGGAAAGTAAACTATTTGAACTTACAGAGGGTGGCTAACAATGCCCTCTTCTTAGCAAGATTTTACTCTGAGCTTGTATTTATCTGACATGTGAACCACTTGAACTGCCATTCATCTAATACTTGGGCCCTCTGGAATTACAATGCCAACAAGCTGAGAAAGAACATGATCATGTTTGAAATATTGGCCTCATATTTCTGGCTACATGTGGTGGGATGAATTTGACTCTTCTGCCCAATAAAATTGTTAGTTAAAAAAATGCCATAAAGTGGTTTTCTGCCTTTACTTTTCTCCTTTCTTGTTCTTGACTAGTCATCATGCCAGCAAAATAAAACATGTTTACTTAAATGAGAATTGGTTCTGGCTCTGGTCATTGGTAAGCAGCCTGATTGCTTTCTATGGCAGAACTAACACGATCTTTCAAAACTACTGTGTGAGACAGCTTTCACTAGGGACAGTATAGTTTGTGTCAGTCTCTGAATATGGTTTTGATGATGCTTTCAGTCCCTTTGCAGAGTGGAATTATGTTTTCAAAAGAGAACAGGTCTCCATTTCTGATGCTTCTGTAACACGTACCAAATTTTTGATAAAGCAACATAGGACCACTGAATAAAACCTTGATCCCCCTGCTCCAAAAAGTATGGATGGTGACTTCTTACTGTGCTTTCTTTCAAAGTGTGGAAGTTCAAGTGTGACTTTGGCCAACAGTCATGGTACTGAGGATGACTGTATTTACAGGTCCTTAAATAAGTCCTTTAAAAAGGGGGTATGGAAGAGTGATTTTAAAAATTTTGTGTCTTTCTCCTTCCTGTAAAATGTTGGTGCACTGGAGGGTTGACAGATCATCACTAGTCTAGGCTAGAGAAAGGAACAGTACTGGGAGCCACTTCCAAAGAATTTAAATGAGCCTAATGTAGTTTCCCAATGAAAACCAGCCAAACTTGAACTGTATCCAGAAACAACCCTAAAAATTAACCTGTGATTAATGTCAGTTGACAACAGGTTTCTTTAGTGGGATTAAATTGCTTGGTGCAGTGTAAAGTAGGGATTTATAATTGTGCTTCTTGTAGTAAAAGAAAAAAGAAGAGGAAAGAGAAAATTAAAAAGACACACAGGAATGAAAAATGTGACAAGTGTCCACGAAGGTTTTGGCAGGAATCCCAAATGTCCTAGTCTAAGGAAGAGCTGCCGTGTGCAGGACGGGGAGGTCCCAGGAGACATGACAGGGCCCCTGTGGAAGCCCACGCGTGAGGGCTCCTGCTGGAAGCAGGGTGTGCAGGTGACGGGTAGGCACCTGAGCAACAGCTCTACAGTGACAGCAACAACGTTCCTCCACAGCTGGTGAAAAAACTTAAGGCTATAGCTGAAATTACTCTAAACAAGCTGAAATCTGTTAAGAGGGAGAGATAGGAAAAGCGAGAGAAGTCAGGAAAACCAGAATAATCTTCCTTTGAATAGAGTGTTGGACAAATATGGGGGGATTTCTTCTCAGTGCTAATCAAAAAGATTTACCTAATTAACAACATGAAAATGCTGTTGTGGGTGAAGGGCGTTTTCCTCAGTCACTGTCTAAAATTGATTAAAGATCAGCTTCGATATAATTTAGAAAGTATTTCCCAGTGATGCCCAGTGATGCTTTTTTTTGACAGGTTAGTTTCCTCTTTCCTCGGGGAATGAGAATAACCTTTTAAACTTAGAAGATACTCAGGAAAGGGATTCAAAAAAGCAGCTAATGTGATAAACAGCAAGGACATTTTTCTTAGAGGAAAGTGATGAAATGGGTTGAAGCATCCAGGTAAAATCTAATCCAGGAACAATTAGGAAACCACCTGGCTACTCTGTAGGCTCCCCACACAGACAGAGTGGTCCTACATAGCACACAAGGAATGAGGCAATGCAACTTGGACTCCACACTCAAAGTCCCCAAACACTGCTGACTGCAGTCTTCCAGGCCTCCCAGAGAACACCTGCCATTTAAACTTTAATTTCAGTAGAGCCATTTTTGCAAATCTGGGGATAGGAGGATATTTTGAACTCAACATTACTAAAGATAGGCTTTTCCCAACACTTATGAAACTATTTCTTTAAATGGGGTATGGTAAAAACACACATATGCTAATAAGTCCATGTTTGTTAATGCCCACACTACATATTTTCACAGATCTGAAGGTTCATTGATCAATAAGAACATGTTTCAAACTCTACCCAAGGCCTTTATCGTAATGCCTTAAGGCATTAGATGAAGAGTTTCAATCTTGTTCCTACTTTCAATAATTATCCAACCAACTGTCATTCATATGTTATGTATCAGTTGCTGGTGAATAATTTTTCCTTTTTCTCCCTAGTGGGGACTACTATGAACTGTATAATACTCTGAAATGCTCAGCAACACAACAATCATTAAAAACCTTACTTCCAGGTACCCTGATTTCTCAAGGTACATGTTGAAATGCTGTGGCCTCCACACAGGGAGATGTGGGAGTTAGTGGATGGGAAGGCAACACAAGGTTAAAATCAAAAGGCACCAGAGCTGAACATCTCCTCACTTGACCTGGAGGCAGCAATGACACCTGGGAACTTGGGAAGTGGCTCGCTATGTACAGCAAGGGGCAGCAGAAAGCAAGCTTTGCACATCATTAATGCTCTTGGTAGGGGCTGATCGCCAGACATCAGTTCAGTCAGGGTGATGGAAAATAAAAGTTGACTTTCATTAAATGTTAGTTCTTTCAATACTTTCCATAACATGGAAAATTTTAAAAAAGTTTTTTTACAATTATATTTTAGTACTTTCAATACTTTCTTCACTGACATCATTAACGTTCAAGATTTTTTCTTCGCAGGGAGAGAGGAAGTGTAGGGTCTATCCAATGCTACACAAGTCATTATTTTACAGGCTGGCTCTTCAGGACATTACGATGGACCAGACAGGTGGGCATCCAGGCCAACTGCGTGGCCAGGAGCTCCCTGGAATACCATGACATCCAAAAGTCCGAATAAGGCTAGTTTCACAGCAACCTGCAGAACAACTTCCCCGTCCTCGTGTCTGTGTCGGTGCCTCTCCTCTTTTCGCTCACCTCCCTGAGCGGTAACACAGGAACTACATCAGGTCCAAGGACGGAGTGTCTCAGACCCCATATAATCACCTCGACAGATGCAAGCCAGGCTGCATCCTGGGATTCCTCAGGCACGAATCATTCCATGTCCTAACACACAAGTTGCTTCCAAGAATTCCACAGTATTCTCCAGATGGGGAAGATGGGAGATTCATGGTGAATCACTGTATGGCCACATTCATATTCTTTATTTTTATCAATACTGTGGACCTAAGCACTCCTTGTGTTATGTGCATGTGTATGTAGGTGTGTGTAGGGGGCTCTCTCATATAAAGTGACTATTATCTTGAATTAAAACATCATGAAGATCTATGCTCAATAGCTAGAAGAGGCTCTTATTTCTAAAATCTCCTTCCAATGTAGGTGATACATTTGTTAAAAAGCTCAAGGAAACAACTGACTTGTTAAAAAAATGGACTGAGCACAATAAGAAAACTCGACATCATATCTCATTCAACGATGATCAAGTATTGTAGACCAGATTTTCACAATGTCATATTCAGATTTTTGTTGCTTTTAAGGACATCTATTTTTGGCAGCAATGGGACACTTGTGGCTTGAAATGCACTTGAAATGTATCCAAACTTCATCTCTGAAGTCTTGGAAACATGGGCAGTCATGGAGCACAGGCCTTGAGGAACTGGGGAATTTCAAGAAGCCAAAAATATAAGAGCCATTAGTACTCATCATAATTATTGAGATCTGTAAAGTAGGCATTAGAGTAAGTCTTCCCAGTGAGATGCGGGTTGAAGTATTTGTTTCTTTCCTCTAGGATCAAGTTGTTTTTATTAAATGCCTGTGAAACATAAAAATAAAAAACTTAAGTAGTATTTCAGAAACAGAATATAATTAGGAGACAATTGTGTTGAACTTGAGCTCTCTTCTAAGGCTCCATTATTGGAAAATATGTTTCCTCACTTACCAGTTTCCTAACATCATTGGCCTTACTGAGGATTTGCCTCAAAGCTAGAATAAGGTGGGCAACTTTTATATCTTTCAGTCTATTGTTGAGTTTTAGGCAGGAAGTTTCCAACAGTGATAGGGAGTACCTATTGTTATACCCATTTAAAGATGAAGAAACTGTTCAAAGGATTTCATATAAGTTACTCCATTTGATTTTCATTATTTTCAATTTATTGAGAAGAAAATGGGAGGCTCAGAGAAAGTGCGTTACAGCTGGTACGTGACTCATGAGCCCAGGCCTGCCAGCTCTAATGCCACTACCCTTCCCTCCCCTTCTTCCTGAGAATGAGATTGGTCATTCACTCCAAATTTCTGGGGCAAACACTAGGTTGATCACCCACTGGGGAAATGTAACAACATACACCAGTCACACAGCACTTGTACATCACACAAAGCTTCACTGTGCTTGAAAATGATTTGAAGATAGTCTTGACAATACGGTAACAATTTTTCTCCGACTGCCATCCTGGTGACTCCTGAAATGGCCCTGTATTTCTGATTGCCCAACCCTGGTCCCCATTACCAGCACCCAGCATGTATTGGTCCTTGGCCTGGAGCTCTTCTTTTTGGCATGACCTCCCTTTGGATGCAGAAGGCACAGTGGAGGCAGAGCTGGACACTGGCCAATAACCTAATATTTCTCAGCATTTTATTTGTTGTTGTTACCTTGTCTCATTTGTAACCTACATTCCCAATATGAGATTCCATCTTTCACAGGCAAAGCAAAACTAAAAAGGAAGTTCGTCATAAGCGAGAGCCCGTTACCTTGCCCCACCCCGTCACCTGCACCATCACCATTGTGTTTTGCCAGGAGCCCCAGGTCCGCCTGCCTTCTTTGTACCTCTGGCTGCTGCAGTTGCTACCCGTGTCCCTTACCTTGATGGCCTCCACCGAGTCATACTTGTCCAGTTTGTTGATGTGGTTCGTTATGCTGGTGTTGAGAGGGGCAGGCGCGATGGGGTGGATGACAGTGGCATCGTGGGATTGCTGCTGGTACCGCTGGCAGTAGGTGTAGACAAGGAGCGTAAGAAGGCAGCCCAGGATGGAGCTGCTCAGCCCCACAGCGACCATGTGGAACATGTTGAACTCTGGGAAGACAGCATCGAAAGTGATGCTACACTGGAAAGGAACATGCTACACAACACCTCAGGGCTTTAGCAAATAAAGAAAAACAAAATGGAAAGCCCCATATCCATTTGAAATTAATCATAGTATGTTCTTTTGAAATGGCATGGCCAATGAAGACTCATCTCCAAAGTGAACATAGTATATTTTAAGTTAATGCTCTTATGCATCGTAATCAGTCCTTTGAAAATCACCTTAATATACTAGCAGAAGCTTTTAAAAAAATTTAAAGAATGTTCTTTTCTTTCAAATGCAGCCACTCTACGGTCTATGGGATTTCTAGGAAACATGTTTTTAGGCTCCTGGACAGGCTGGGTGTCCCCATACGCACATGGCTGTGCGCCACCCACAGGGGGAGACGGCCTTTACTGCTTCTAGTACTGCTCGCCTGCAAGCCACATTATTTCCCCCTTTTCTTTATCATTTCATTTTATTTAAAGATGTGTTCCACTTACATAATTCTTGTTTCTCATTATATTTTTGATTATGAATATGAACACATAACATAAAAAGTGTAAAAGGGAATATAAGAATAATAAGTCCTTTTCTTTCCTAGAGGGATTACCATAGCCAGTTTCTGGTGTGCTTTTCCCAAAGCTCTCTGCACATTTCTGTGCTGGGTCTGTGTGTGTGCTCACATGCATAAATATTATCCTGGACACTGCTTTTTTCCACATACATTACATTTTGGAGATCTTATAAAGAAAGTGGAGATCTCACAAAGAAATAAAGGATTTGTGTCAAAGGAATAAAATATGATCTTTCAGTGGTCATGAAATGACCTTCTTTTTTACACTTTTTTCCTGTTTGGTAGACTCTGAGTTATTTTCCTTGAGTTGTGAGTATAAAGTGTTGAAAAAGCGAACAGGCATGGATTTGTGGGTCTAATACCGCATTGGCTCAAGTGACATCAAGGTAACATAAGCATGACCTGCATGATGTCTGAGAAACAGCAGCAAGAAAGAAAAATAGGCATTTGGGGTGTGTTTGTAAGATACTTTGCAATTAAAGTTTCACGCCTCTCAGGGACTAAAGACAGCACTGGGAAGTGCTGAAGAAGCTGGGCTTAGGGAATACCAGGTAGAGCAGAGCAGGACCTTACTTCTCCTACTGTGTTGGCCCCGTGTGGCTAGCCAGTTGCTTGTGGGTTACTGCCCTTATGTGTCTCCCCTGCAGAGGACACATCCCGAGGACTTGGCTTTCCCTCAGGTGTCCCCTCCACTGGCCACTAAAGGGAGCTCAACCCCGTCCCTCCCCAATCTGTCCACACTGCCTCGAATGGAACCAGTGCAGAGGCCTGCTGGGCACCACCATCAACTCCAGGTGAGTCTGCAAAGCTGTGAAGTGAGGCCCCCGGGGCTCTCAGGAGGGGGGACCTGCAGGTCTGCCCCCCACACCCAGGTCATGGGGTATTTGTACCTTAACCACTCAGGCTCCTCAACAAGGATTCTTCAAGAAGCCTTCATGTTACCTGAGATCCACAGCAGATGCTAATATCTCTTACCTGTCCCTAAACCCTGAGTTCTCCCTTTAAGTGCCCCTTTACTGCATTCTGGGGACCCAAGGCCCTGAGAGGTGGATCTTCTTTCTGAGGCGGACTGAGACTGGGCTGAGGCTGCCTCCTTGGGGCGCTGTGAGCACAACCAACACACTACTACCTGCACTGAGACTCTAAACAGCACTGCATTCCCACCGCAGGTGTCCAGTGTGTTCAGTGCCAAGAGCTGGATGATCCAGGGGGATGTCACTAGAACATTCCACAGGTATCATCCACTCCCAACACCCACCTCAGTCTTTCACTTTTTGATTATTTTGTTCATAGTTTAGCAAAGCGAAAGGACTTCATAGATCTTTGGCTTTTCCTGATTTTGTCTGAATCCACTAGGGCTGGACAGCTCCCTAACGGGGACAGCTGGATAAAGCACCTGGGGCTGTTCCAGCACTGGCCACTGCAGGTTTCACTCTAACACCGAAGCTGTGCTCCTAGCATGGACTTCACAGTGCTGTCATTTCTTGATACTTTAGGGTTCAGACTCCCTGGAGACATTTCCAGGTATGAATATAACTACTTTCTGCTGCACTGATAACATATTTTATTATAACAGGTAGAAGATGTATGACTCTATCCATATGCAGATACTTTGTCATTAGTCAGATGAATCGTTCCTGCAGGTGCCCGCGAGAGGCTGGGGCCACTGACATCTTTATTGAGGATTATATAGTCCTGTGTCTCATGAAGCTAAAAATAGCTCTCTCAGTTGACAAATTTCAAAAGACTCAGATTTTTTGCATAAGGAAAACTAGTGCCTATTAAATCTCTTGAGTTTGCTTAGTGTGACTCTTTGCTTTGAATATGCTTTTATTGCTGTGATTTTTGGTCAGTAAAGCTCGAGTAGAGACCAATTTCCCCGTTGGTTCAGCTTCCTGATTTTCTGTGCAAAATGTGATTGATTTTTTTGCAACAGACCAGGAAAAGACATCCATGTTATCTCCCTAAACATCCTTGCTGGGAAATGGTTTTTACTGTTAGCTCAAGAATCAAATCCTTCTGACCTCTTACCTAGCTATCCTGGAGTGTCAATGTCAGCAGCCTAAAGATCAAAAAAATTAGTTCTGAATATTGTAGAGTAATTAAGAGTTTCTATGAATTAATCAATAGTACTTCAGGGTTTGATTCCTTGCAACTATTTGGCCCAGCTGGCTCAGACACATAGCAGCAGCATTTTAGGATGTCAATGGGCTTTGCCTTATGTCCTCCTGGGAGCTCAAAGCCTTGGAAGAATCCCAACTTCTAACCCTCAGAGGATCAGCCAAGGAAAGGGGCTTTCAAACTTGTGGCAGATGTGGAGGGCCTGTCGACTCTGCAGAGACATCATCTGGTGGCCTCCCTCAGAACAGGTTCACACCCTACAAACGCCACCCACTCTGGACCTTCACTGCCCCTGAGGGCAGCAGATATCCCAGGGGCCTGGGTGTCCACCGACTGGGGTGCTGTGGCGCCAGCCCCCAGACACAACCCTCCCTTTCCCTGTGGTACTCTGAACTTCAAGTTCACGCTGCAATCCCACTGCCTGGATCTGACCTGGGCTCTGCGGGCCGCCTGTGTCGACGTCAGCCAGGGATCCCATCTCTCTGACCCTCACAATCACTGCTTACAAAAGGCAGGTAAAAACCCATGACTGACAATGCTTTTCCACAATTCCCAATGCCAAAATCTCTGAAAAGTGATTTTTCATCACCTGTCTGGCAGCAAAGTATGACCTGATCTGACCCATTGGCTGCAGAACCGACCAGAACCACCAGGAGGATCATTAGCATATTCACTCCACCCACACATCACAGCAGCATAATTAGAACGATTGGTTATGAAGTGTGGCCCTAAGGGCCTCTAGGGGCATTATGTAATATACAGAATATGCCCCACATGGCCCATCTACAACCTGAAAAGTGTTCATTCCCAACACCCTTCCCTATCTCCAATTCTTCTTTACATAAAGAATTATGGACTTGGGCACTTACATAAATGCTCTCTGTGGGGCTCAAATAGGTTTCTCCTTGTCACTTAATACAGTGTCTGGTTCATAGTGACTGGTCTCAAAATATTAACGCAATGTTGTGATTATTTTTATTTAAAGTGACATATTCATCTTACAGATGGATCTCAAGTTAGTGACTGCCGTCTGTGACCTCAGTGACCTGACTCAGGTCAGGCATCAGACTGTCCCTGATGCTGGGACTATTGGCTCCACAGAGGTTGGGGCTCTCTTAGTCCTCATTATAACCTCAGAGCTCCTCATTAATCTAACACAGAGTGGTTGCTCAGCAAAGATAATTGAATGACTGGATTACCAGATGGCTGACTAAACAGAAAGAATGTACAATAATAGATAGTGAGCTCTTATAATTAAATATAGCTAATAATGGGAAGTACATTCCTAAAATCTGCCTAGAAGCATCAGGTTTCTCCTGAGAATAAACAGAGACCAAAGCCCCTTGGGCTGAGTTGTCTGGGACTCCCCTAGTGGATGGGTTATGGTAGGAATGGTTATTAATAGGCTTATATAAGCCTATGAATACACCCATACGACAATGATGGTCTGGGTGTGGATTTTATGGCCAATTTGAAAAGGTGGACAGAGACTGGGCTTGGATATGCAGAGAGTCAGCCCCTCCCATCCAGACATGACAGACATAGACAGTAAAGTCCAAATTTATCATAGACTTAAATCACAGAATACTAATTTTTGCCACTTAGGGTTCTGGGAAGCTTGAAACATGCCTCTAGAGATAGGGGTAGAACATTACGCCCCCTTATAATTTTGTCATTACAGCAGCCTGGAGATCTGAGGCTGGCTGCCATGAATCTGCATTATAAATATAAACAATATGTTCGAATACCCAAACTCAAACATCTATATTTAGTATCTGTATAGTATCAAGATACCAAGGACACTGGTTCGTAAGGCTTAGCATCCACCAGAATCACCTGAAGGGCCTGTTAAACTACAGAGCGCCGAGTCCCACTCAAAGAGGTTCTAATCCTACAGATCAAGGAGAGGCTTGGGACTCTGTATTTTTCTCAAGTCTGCATGTGATGCAGTTCTGGGGACCCCACTTGAGAACCACTATTCCAGATGTCAAACACTGACTGAGCATTTACACTTACTGAAACATAAGGTCCTTGGGATCCAGGGGTTTCTCTGGTCTGCTTTTTTTTTTTTTTTTTTTTTGGAACAACAGCGGAAACATCATTTGGCCAACAGCAGAAAATATCAGGAATCCATTAGAAAGCAGTTAAAAGGAAGAACTTACCTCCACACCTTTTTTCTTCTACACTACTGGACCTTGCCACGGATACTTCTGGAAAAACAAAAAACCATCACAATGTATAAAGGGCACTGGGAAGAAAGATCACATTAGTGATCCCTTTACATCTAATGATGTTGAGTTTTGTGTGAGTCAAGCTCCCAAAAACCTTATTTTTAAAAAATTATATTTGTTTCTTTGTTTTGTTTAACCAACCTGAGCTGTATTTGGTCAAGATCATCTTGACTGGGAAGGGATCAGTTTCATCACCACAGATAGAAAATGCAATGGTCCCTGGAGCTAAAACCAGGGCAGTAGCTTGAAAACAAGGCCAGAAGATGTGCTGATTTTCTGTGACAATAGTACTGACAAACTTTGGAACCCCACAGTGTTTGCCTGAGGTATTTCTGCCTCAGATCTTTTGTTGCATCAAAGCCACTGTTGTCACTTTCCCTGCAGAGGGGGCCAATCCACTAGAGAGAACTCCAGGGAAATGGCCAGGACAAATAAAGTCCCTATTCAGAGCCCATTCATGCTCTGCCATGCCACATATGAGACGCCAATGTGAACAGAAACCCACCCAAACAGTAAATCACAATTTCAGAAGGCAAGGAACATTATCCTCTCCCATACTGAGTTTTCATTAGATAAGAATTAAAACATGTCTATGATTATAAAGGGAAACAACAACAATAAACATTGCAGTTTTATATCATACATGATTAAGTCCCCTATAGACCTGAGGCTACTTTTCTCTAAAACATGATCTCTTCCATAAATGGAGGAAAATACATTATAACTTAATATTGCTTTGTAAGAGGTTGATCTCTGCTTTGATTCATGTCTCAGTCCTAACCCACACAGTGGGCACATGTGAAATATTGTGTTAGTATATACACCAGACCTACGGTAGACCTACAGGTGACTACCTACCACCAATAACTAAACATCAATTTCACATGGAAAAGCCAGTGGTAAGAGGGCCGGTCACCTTTTCTCCAAGATAAGAACAACGGTGATTAAACGCATTAAAATTGCATAATGAGAATGGTCCTCCTTCTCTTGTACAAACATAAGCACACAAGCATTGCCAAAACATTTGACTTAATAATTAAAACAACCAAACACACCACTTTCATTTTTTGAGCAAAATCTTCTGCATGTGTTGCAGTCAATAAATTGTAGAAGACAACACTGTGCTTAAAAAATACGTCTATAATTTTTTTCAAAAAAATCTTAAAACTCATAGCCTAAATGCAGGTCTACACCTGCAGTTATCTAGAAATCTACAGTTGAATCACCCTGAAACGACAAGTTGATTGGATCATCTGTTTCACCAAGAGGGATCTCAAAGAACAGTTAAAACTCAATTCAATGGCTCATTTTGTCTTTGAATGTAGGCAGTGATTTTGCTCACATTTTGCCCTTACCTGGGATGAAATTGGAATCAAAAACACATGGCCGGCTCTCCGTGGTGTTTCCGGAACACTGGCTGCCCACGGGGAACAGAAGGATGCATTGGCGGGCGCGGACCTGGACTCCGGACACATCACACTCAGACCAGTCTGACCACTCCGACCACATCTCTGCAGCGATCAAACGTGGGGAAAGAGGGAACAAGGCCCACTGAGATCAGACAACTTGAAAGCAGTGTCAAGTTAAAGTTACGTATATGAATTTAAGTCCTCATATTAGGTTTAATGGATCTGTATGCAAATAAGATGTCCTCCTATCTTAAAAGTCCAGTAGATAAAATACACACAAGCATGAATAAAAGAATTGGTATATAGTTGACCTGAAATAATGTGCTTAAAATACACTTGCTAAAACCACATTATTTTCATGCTATAAAATAATTGGATTAGACACTCAAGCTAATCACTGATGTCCAGCTGTGCACAGACCACAAGTGGTGGGGAACAGAAATCATCCATAGAGACACAGTTTCCACCCGGGTAAAAATGCTCCTCTGCAAAGGGCAGCCCTCAAATGCTCCCCCGAGAAACTCCCCCAGGCCTTGCTCTCAAGCGAAAGAAACAGCAGGCGTTCCCGAGAAAGCCCTGTTGCTGTTTTCGTGAGAAGCCCAATGCTGCAAGTGTTCTCTTTGCCATAAAAACCATTCTGCAGAGTCAATATGCCCTGGCCAGGCTATACTTGAAGTAGAGTTCATCTTATCCAATGTTTACTGTCACGGAAGCTCATAAAAATCAATGTACAAGTCTTGGGTTAAGGCCAAAAGTTGAGCAATAGCAGGTCACGTCACTCTGAAGTGGAAGATTTGCCAGGATTGGTTAAATTCACCCAGGCCTACAGATGTGTGACAGAGAAACACTCATATTTGAAGTAAGGAGATTACAAAAATGAACTCAGTATTATGAAATATTAATCAGCATAAAAATATTTTTCTATGCAGTTTTCTTTTTGCCCCCTCTATTTATTATTTTTTAAAGATTTTATTTATTTAATTTTAGAAAGGGGAAGGGAGGGGGAAAGGGAGAGAAACATCAAAGTGTGGTTTCCTCTCGTGTGCTCTCCACTGGGACTTGGCCTGCAACCCAGACATGTGCCCTAGACTGGGAATTGAACTGGCGACCTTGGTTCGCAGGCCAGCACTCAATCCACTGAGCCACACCAGCCAGGGCTGCCCTCTCTTTTTAAATGCAAGATGTCAGCATTGTCTTTGCAGTTCAGAGGAAATTTGGAAATCAAATTTGTGCCTTGATACAATGGGAAGAAAGATCCACGTAAAGGATACAATTTTCCCTTAAAAATCTGTCAAGTGCTATTTTCCGAATGATGGGAACATTTGATGGGCACTTTTTAATATAAATGGAACCTTCTAGAAATATCTGCAGGAGTGTATTAAAAAAAAGTAAAAGTGTTTCAATGTCAAAGTTAGGTCTCATTTCCACGCCAAGTGATCCCCACATGTCAGAAAACTGAGCTAATTTCTGGCTGAGGAGGTTGTGGTATCTGGTCCAGTGGGCCCCTGAGTCCGCCAGCCTCAGTGCTCAAACTCCACCCCCACAGCCCTGAGGCCCATCCTGTGAAACAACTTTACAAGGTATCTCCATGCCCCCTGCTGATTTTCAACAACAGAATCTCAGATTTCATTATCAGAGTAAATATTTTATAAAGGCTATGTTATAACCAGCTTCTGCTACTAGTTCTGAAACTATGGCATGACGAGAGCCATTTTATTGTAGAACACATGTTCGGAAGTCACTTCAAGGGTGACAGTGCGAGGTTGCTGGGTTCCCTTCTTACAGTACCTGTGATGTGACATGATCAATTTCACCATCTCTAAATCAAGGAGAGAGGCAAGTTTGTCCCAGCGTCCCTCTGCTTACCTGGGCAGGGCTGGGTGTTGCAGAGAGCCTCTTCCGTGTGCAGCCCCAGGCAGATGTCACCGCCGTAGGCCGGGGCTGGGTTTGTGCACGAGCGGGTCCTCATGTAGTGTCCACCGCCACATGTCGCCGAGCATTTTGACCAGGGGGACCAGCAAGACCACACGCCATCCACTGGGAAGGGACACAAAGTCACATTGCTTCTGAAACGCAGAATCTGATCAATCTGATGAGGGTACAGATAGCATGTGTATGGCAGGAGCACATCCGAGAAGTCACTGACCACTCACAGCAGGGTATCTGGGGTCTTCCGCTGGTGAGGGCACCTATTTTGCATATTCCTCCCATTCTCAGTCCCTCTTCTTTGTTCCTTCAGGATCTATCTCTAAACATAACATGTAAGCATGAGGACGACAGAGCGGTGCAGTGTATGCAACACAAAACCCCCATCCTTGGGAAGGACCGTCGACCACATTCTGCTGTGATTAATGTGAAGCTTGCTCTGGCTTTTGCTAACTGAACAACCGAGTTGGCTAGGGGAGACTTACAGCCAAGGACAGGTAGTTCATGTCATAGCTTTCCTTACTAATTGAGTTACAATTTGCTCCAGGACAAGGGGATAAAGAAAAGGTAACAGGTCCTGTGAGGAAGGATTGTGGAGATACTCTGTAAATGCAGGCACCAAACAACCAAACTAAGTCCACACCACACAGATGCGATGGTGTGTTTACGTGATAGACTAAAGAGAGGACCTGCTCCCTGCAGTCAGACTTCAGGTTGGAAAGGAAGGTGAGTTTTGTAACTCGAACATTCAGCAGAACTGGTTCCTGATGAACGGGGGCCTATCCCTGACCCTGAGCAGGTCTCCCGTTTTCTCCAGGCTGGGCCCCTGATACCCGCAGACAGGTCTCCTAGCAGAGCGCTGGGTGAGCGGACCCACCTGGATCTCCGTGCTCCCTCTTGTGTTGGCTACATTGTTAAACTGAGACCTCACGCCAGCTTCTGTCTGACAGTGTCATATATGATCTGCCCTTTGTCTAACTCCTTGCTGACCCTCTCTCTTGCCAGTCAGACCTGCCCTGTTTTACTGAGTCCCAGAGCAAAGCCAGGACTTTGTCAAGATGTCATTAGACTCCAATTAGCAAAAATCAGTCAACCACAGCAAGCCACATAAAAAAGGTGATGAGAGACACTCTTTTACCCTATGTAAATAGTATCATGTTTTATTTGCTCTGTATTCTAAAATAAAATAAAACAGAAACAACAAGGAAAGGGGATTCCCCAATTGTTAAAGACACAGGGCAATTTTTCCTAGAATGTAAAGAATTTAATACATCTTTATGGAGTAATATGTCTCTTTAGACATAGACACAGGTCAAAAAAAAGTATTTTTGAGATACATGAGCAGCAAAATTATGTCTGTTGGTGATATTTTAATTTGCAAAGAGTAAAAATAGAACAAAGAAACATTTGACATGTAACTGAGAATTTTGTGATTTTATAGTTTATCCAGACTTGCAGACTTCACCATTTTCCCCAAAAGGCAATAAGCAGGTCAGAAAGTAAGAGGGGATGAATCAGGTATCTGACATGGGTTGTAATAACAGGAAAAAAAAAAAAAAGGCAGGCATAGACTAGCCTAGAACTTTACAGTTTTCAAACACTCACTGCCATGTCTATTTTCACTAGGGGATAGTTGCTGGCAGTTTTTCTCTATCTGTAACCCAAGTTGAAGCTTGAAGTGGGTTTGCATGCACACTCCAAACTAGGGAACAGATGAGTCGCAGTGCCTTAGGGGAGCAGCCGCATGGAGTTCAGGTGTTTGAATGTACACAAGGCAGTCTGGGGCTTAGGACTGTCTAATGCCTCATCTAGTTTGGAGTTGGAACCAGACTTAGAAGCAATGATGTGACCTAAAGATCCTGGGCTTTTCTGTTGCATAATGAACCTGCAGATCAATGGCCAGTAGGTATGTGAAAAGATGTTCAACATCATTAATAGGCAAGGAAATGCAAATCAAAACCACAAGGAGACATCGCTGCATACTTGTTAGGATGGCTATTATAAAAAAAAAAACCACAACAAAAAATGATAACAGTAGAAGATAGTGTTGGTAAGGGTGTGGAGAAATTGGAACCCTTGTACCCTATTGGCGCAAATGTAAAATGCAGGTGCATTGAATAACAGTATGGTGGTCCCTAAAAAAAATTAAAATTAAAATTAAAAAATTAAAAAAACTGCCATATATAATCCAGAAATTCCCTTCCTAGGCATATATCCAAAAGTATTGAAGTCAGGATCTCAGAAAGATATCTGCACATCCATATTCATTGTAGCATTCTTCACAATAGCGAAAATGTGGAAACAACATAAAATCCATTGACAGATGAATGGGTAAATAAATTGTAGTATCTACGTATAATGGGGTAGTCCATTAAAGCAAAGGAAGTCCTGTCATTTTCCACAACTTGGATGAATCTGGAGGACATTATGCGAGTGAAATAAGTCAAAGAAAGACAAATACCGCATGGTTCCATTTACATATGAAATATAAAAATGTCAAACTGATAGAAGCAGAGAGTAGAATGGTGGCCATCAGGGGCTGGGTGGGGGGTAGGTGGAATGAGATGCTGTTCACAGGTATGACGTCCTAGGCATGCAGCATGAGTCTGCTGTGAAAGCTGTGCCTGGAGTTAACAACACTGGATGTTAATGCACTGATTCATGTATGTCCGCCCCCCTGTTAGATTCTCACTCTGTTCTTTCTCACTCAAACTTACTGACCTACTGCTTTCATAAAAAAGACAAAATGAACTACGTTATTTGAATTTGAATATTACTTAGTAAAAAGAACCACCTGTATTATCTACCTTGGTCACCCAAGGGCTGGAATCCTTAGTTCTGAACCAAACATGGACTGAGGAAAAGGAGTGAAGGAGAAACACCCAGCTATTTGTCACTGTTGCAGGTACATTATGGAGGTGAAGGTACTACATGGATCAACCCACAAGAAGTTGAGAAAGGGTCATTTCAACATGGGCTCAACTTTCATACCTTGTTGTTGTTTATCATACACATTGGAACTGGAGATCAAATTTAAAAGACATTTTACATTCTCTTAGTGTCCTTGGATTTATTTTCAAACTTAATCATAATGAGGAAACTTGTTTTTAAATAAAATACAGTGCCCATTTGTGTGTGTGTATATGCGCGCATAGGTACTATGCACCCAACAGGCTTAGAGTAAAATCACAGGGAGTACAGTATCTGAAATAAGGTAAAAACAGCCCTATAACTGGACCTCCTCATGGCTGAGCAGCTCTGCATCTAGAGCCCTGAGAGCTTCTGATCCCTCCTTCATGCATTACATGTTATCACTTATTTAGGAATTTTCCAGGAACATTGACATTTGCCCAACTCAGCCCCTCAAACCCACCCATGCCCAAGTGGAAAGTAAAAAGCGGCCACTCTGACTATTTTTACAACCCTCTATGGACTCTTGGCTTTCATAAAGAAAATGAGGACAGGGCTATTTCCAGACATTAAGGTTATATACACATGATACTGTCCTGACCATCAAATCAACTAAAATAAAAACAGCCCCCAGATCATACTGACGGCTGTCTCTGAGATGGGCCCTGAGCCTGCACTCAAGGACAGGGCAGCGTCAGGCATCCGGGGGAGCCTGCGTCTTCTACTGAGGGCAACCAGGGCTCGTGTCTGGAACCTGGGAAGGCGAGAGTCCATGGGGGGATTCCAACACTCCCATGCCACCCTCCCTGCTCAGTTTACAGCCTGAGCGGGAATCTCTGACACGCCCCAGGGCACCCGCCTCGCCCCAGGGAGGAATCCTCCACTCTCAGCACTGGGGCGGTGGGAAAACACCAGCTCTGTGACCTTTCCCAGCCCCTCAGCTGCACTTGGCTGGGAAAGCTGGATGGTCGGAGGGGAGAGTCGCTAGAGACTGGAGAAATCCTGGCAGAGACAGCCTGGAAAAAGCAGGGCAGCTGCAGGAGCAGGAACACACTGAGAGCCTCCGCTACAAAGCTGGGAATTATGTATTTGCAGTTTAATGTACATATTTATACACCCATCCATTCATCACCCACCCACTCATCATCCATCATTCACTCATCCATCCATCCATTATCCATCTGTCCATCCATCCACTCATCCAACCATCCATCTTTTCATCCCTCACCCATCCATCTATCCATCCATCATCCATTCTTCCATCATCTGTCCACCTGTCTGTCAATCATTTTTCTATCATCCATCAATCCATTTACCCAACCAACAAATGGTTACTCAGCACTGCTACAAGCCAGTTTCTTGCTGAAAGAACTCAGCAAGTTGCTTGTACATACTGAAGAGATACTTTCAAGTTTCTGTGCCTCTAAAAATACTGTTCCTGGAGTTTGGAATGACCTTCAACCTAATTTCTGATCCTTGTTTGTTTGTCTAATTCTTCTCTCTCTCCTTCTCAAGACTCAGGTCAGGGGCAGCCTGCTTGGGGTAGCTGATTCCAGCTCAGTGGGTCCTTGGCTGACATAACCTCTGCATCTTCTCACCTCCCCAGTAGCCGGTGACCATCCGGGTTGGCATTATTCGCAGGATGCCTCCTCACCAAATGCCAGGCTCCTTCTGACCTGGACCGTATCACTGTGTCTTTCTTTATCCTGTGAATAGGGCACAGTAGGCTACGCACACGCATTTGCTGGTAAATTGAATGAAAGGCGAGAGATCAAGTAACTGCCTGACTGCCTGCTTTCCCTTCATCCAGCAGTTACTGGTAGGTATTCGTAGTGTGTGTGCAGCCCCCATGGCGGGGGCCAAGGCACTGCCAGGAGTGAGCGACACCCTTGCAGCAGCCCCCGCCCGCTGGACCTTTCACTCGGGCCCATGTCAGGGCAGCACAGGCAGCTGCAGGCCAGCACCGGGGTGGCCTGAGGCGCTGGGTGGAAGGGCCTCTGACGGTGCGAAGGTCAGGTGGAAGGGAGGGAGGAGGGCAACAGGGCCCCCGCCCCCAGAGCTGTGGCAGGAGGAGTGCAGACCAGACAGAGGAGCCTGTGGGGCCGAGTCAGCAGGCAGCGCCCTCGTCAGGGAGACAGAGGCTCCTGGGGGCTTTTTTTTAGCTCATTTTATTAACTTTCTGCCAGCTTGGGAATTCCATGGAAAGAAAAGTTAGGACTCAGGAGGAAGACCCAGAAACGGCGCCCCTGTCAGCCTCCAGGAGAGAAGGGTATGTGTGTTTGGAGACCCAGCTGGGGAGAAAGCTCCTGCTGCCTGAGGGCATGAGGAGCTGGCTGGCAGGCCCCTGGTGAGACATTCTTGATACCTGTAACCCTGGAGTAGGAATCTGTGGTGAACAGAGGTCAGCTCCAACAGAGCTGGGCCCATCAGAGTCTGGGAGTGGGTGGCCTCCACTTCCAAGGACAGGACCCCTCCCTCCTGACCATGGCAGTAGGGCTGACTTCCCCACTGGGCACCGTGCCTGGGACCCATGGTCCTCACAGGCGTTCATGAGTGTGTTTCAGTGTCTTTAAATTGGGAGAAATAAAAAGAATATAATGCTGCCTAGATTATACCTGTTTGTATACCACTTATAAGCAGTTGGAAGACATAATCTGTGATTTACATATTTGTACGTGCTGAGGGCATATACAGGCACACCTCATTTTATTGTGCTTTGCTTTACAGGGCTTACAAATTTAAGGCAGGACCCTCCCATAGCAAGATTACAACTTGCTGAAGGCTCAGATGATGGTTAGCACATTTGAGCAATGATTTTTTTAAATTAAAGTATGTACAATTTTTTTTAATGATATAACCCTATTGCTCACTTAGGACACTACAGGATAATGTAAACATAACTTTTATATGCACTGAGATACCAAAAAAAATTCATGTGACCTGATTTATTGCTTTATTTGCTTTACTGCAGTGGTTTAGAACTGAACCCTTAATATCTCCAAAACATGCCTTTCTTTCTTTCTCTCATATACACACATACACACACACACATATTAAAGCCAGAGAACCTGGTTGAGCCTCCCTAGGTCAGAAGGTCTTCCAAGGTGCTTGATTTTTCAGTCTTTTCCAGATACCTCAATCCACTCACCTGGGCAGGGCAAAATGTTGCATTCCTGGTATTCTAGGGACGGGCCCAGGCAGGGCATGCCTCCGTACTTGGGCTCAGGGTTGTTGCAAACGCGCTTCCGGTTCCGAATGCCCCTGCTACAGTCGCGGCTGCACTGTGACCACGACGTCCAGGCTGACCAAGCCCCATTGACGGTGTGGGCAGAGTATCTCCCAGCACGCAGGAAATCTCCGGAAAGGCCTGCCAAGGAAGAGGCTAAAGTGTTAGTTCTCAAAGTAACCAGAGTCTGAACTAACTTTCAAAACTACACCCTCAAATTCAGTTGAACACATTTTTACACTTCAAAACCCAAAATAAAAAAAGAAGCAGTTGAGTGATAACCTTCTATAACAAGTGTCTTTCTCTGTGGCTACTGTTAAATAAGGTTGCAAATAAGAATTTACTTTTTGAACGTGACCAAGTCTTCACACAGGTTATAGGCCTTATATTTGTAGTTCACTTTTTTTTCTGAGAAACTTTTTACAAAAAAACCCACAACTTTCTCACTTCCCTTGGAAATTCTTCAATAACCTGGCCTTGTACTCAAAATTGGGGACATGGTCTGCAAAAACTGAGGATGATTCGGACATTTTTTAAAAACTAGTCCTTCACCTGCTCACCTTTGCAAAGTGAAGTAAGGCCGGCGAAAGGTGTGGAGTTCATGCTTCTGACTCACAGGCCGTGGAGACACGTGCCTGCTCCAGAACCCAGCAGTGGGACTGAGCTCATGGCCTGGCACCCAGCACACCCTTGAATGATGCTGTCATGTGGCAAATGCTCCCGTGAAGTTCAGGGCACACTTACTAGTAAGACATGGCTTCCCAGCAACAAGTGTAGATGTAGAAGGAGCAGTAGCGGGGGCTGGAGGTTTGGGGTAGAGACAGACCCTGAATACTGACTGTGCATCAGGAGTGCTCAGAGCATTTTGCACTTAAGTCACTGAATTAGCCACAGTCAAAATTCCTGTTCATTTGAAGAAAAATGAGCCACTCATAATATTAAAAAACATTCAGTAATTGTCTCCAGTGGAGGTAGAGTGACACAGGTTTTAACGAACATAAGTCTCAAAGTAATGAACCAGTTCTATCCACTGGGAAATAAGTTTGTTGTTCATTTCAAAACTGGCCTAGAAACCTAGGCAGGAGGCTCTTTAGAGAAAATGGATTAGAAATGTCTTTCTCTGATGGACCAGTTCTTTGTGGTTAATCAGTAAAGAACAGCTATTCACAATTAAGCTGCATCTTGTGTGGTTAGAGGCAAGTAAGTCCAATTTTGTATTTTCAATATATTGATACCAAAAACGTGTGGATAGTCTTCAGAACTTGAAGTCATTAAGACACAAGAAAGATGAAGTTTTTTTTTAAGCCATGCCCATGATATACTTTTGTAGAAAATACAGAATATATTTTATTATAGTGTATTAATATCTTCCTTAGTTTATGTTACTAACATTTAAAAACAATGAATTAGCTTTGGTTTTATATTTAACTGAAAATGGAAGAAATACAAAATCTATTTCTAGAAAAGAGAATAAAGTTAATGTACAGAGAAACATTGTTATGCATTTTCTATTTGTTTTTACTTTGATGTCATAAAAAATTAAGATAGTTCACAGTGAGCTCTGAAATAAGGAAATAGTGTTTTTTTTTTAAAAAAATTGTAGACTTATTCACACAAAATTATTCACTAAAGCAGACTTCTCCCACCTCCCCTCTCCCAAGAAACATTGAATTAGCTTGTTAGTTGCTAAATGACATTAAACAGGATGTTTTGAGGTGAGGAGAGAGTTAATGTCGTTAACTTAGTGGACAGTTAATGTCAGCAAAATCAATATGACCAGGAGCGGCCACTGCTGGCCCCTGTTGGTGCTCCTAGCACCCAGGCTGGCCGCGCTAAGCTGCTGTGGCTGTTCGGCTCCCAGAAGGAGGCGTGGGCTTCTGTGGCATGTGTGCAGCGGCTGGCCCTGCTCACAGACACTCTGTTTAAGAGCTCCCCCCACTTGCAGTTCGGGAGGAGATTTATGGCACCTCCATGAATTTACTCCACCTGCATCGGCCCAGTGTCATGACTTACCAGCTCGGTGGTTCCTCTAGGCCCAGTCCCGTGTCTAAAGCTCCTTCTCTAAAAATGGCATTAATGGTGACTGTGCTTTCTCTATCACACCCATGATGGGAGAATAAGGTAGAATTATAAACACAGAAGTGCTGAGAAATGTTGGGAGGTGGTCTGGTGCAAGATATTACTATTACTGCTGTGAAGACCCATATGTGAGCACTTGTTTCTTGTTAGAATTGGCCAGATTGTGTTACATTAGATGAGAGTGACAGAGGAGAGGAAGAAGGATGCAGAAATGCCCAGGCAGAGGGTGGACTTTCTGGTCTACCTAGAGCTTATTCCGTGCTGTTAATATGTCACTAAAGGGATTTATACAAATGCAAGGAGCAAAGTAATTTCAAAGACTATTGAATACTTCTCACATGCTGTACCCTGAAAAATCCTTTTATATATACAAACACAGAGATGCAACTCTTTTTTCTTTGTCCAGTTTTAAGATAAAAGAAAAGTTTATTGCAAATTTCAGTGCCAAAAGAACTACAGAAGGTCATACTAACCCTTCCATAATATTTTCTGATACTAAATAAATCCTCCTCAAACTACTGTGGACCTGCTATAAATACTGTGTTATTTTCGGGGTTGAATTCACAGGACCATCTCAATATGTAACTACCAGTACATTTTTTATAGTAAGAGTGTTTCCTACAAATTTGCACAAAACCAGTTCTGCTCTAAACGGGTCATTGTTAAAAGTCATCCAAAGGACTGCCCCCCCACCCGCCCGGTCCCCCGCTCCTCTGTGAACTTAAGAGAAGATCACATGCCAGTCCATGGAAGTGGGTCAGTCCCCACGGCATCTCCACTCACCATCTGTGGAACAGCCACTGGTTCCGTCGCTGGAGCAGTACCGCATTTCAATTCTCTGTCTTCCCACTTCCAGCAAATTTGGGTCAGGCAGGCGGGCTTTGCATGTGTATCTAAATCGCTGCTCATAGTGGCCTCCATTGTCAGAGATGTTCACAGGCGTCCAGGGTGTCCACGGCGTGGTCTTCTTCAGCTCAGGGCATGAGTTGGTATTACAAGGCTGGTACTCCTGGAAGAGAAAAGGCATGGCGTGTGCTCATCATGCAGCATAAATAGAGTCAGGGATTTGTTCCTTTAGTGAAAGACAGGTCTCTCTGAAACTTCAGTTATGAAGACACCCATCAACTACTCTACGAAGTTTAAAACACACTTTTGTTAAATCGGGTATTTAGGAGAAGGTGCAGTGCTCAAGTAAACTCCGAAAAGCTCTGCACAATTTCTTTTGCATCAACAATGAAAATGAGAAAATAAACTTAATTATAGGCAAATAAAAATAATGATTTCCATGAAAATCATCTTCCTTTAACATAATAAGTAACCAAAATGCTGATTATTCTGATGCTAACTTTAGCTGTCTTCTTTTACAGATTAAAGTGAAAATGATGGAACCATTACTTGTTTTTTGGACCACAGTATGTTCAGTTTGTGATTAATGAATGTTTTAAGATTTGTAATCACAGGTTCAAAGTATTAGACTGGTAGGTATCCAAATGACAACACAGTATATAATAACTTTCAGTCGATAAGAAGTTTCCACAAGATTTCCCTGGTTAATATCTCGGTGACATTTGTCAGTTCCTCCTCCCTTTCCTTACTACCAGGTATCTCCCTGAACACAGGTTGGGAGGGACCTGGGTGCTGAAAAGAAAGATTTGAAGATCCGGCAAATGGGGCACAGTGTGTGTTGGGGGGGTAGAATCTAAGGCTAAGAAGATCCATCAGAAGCACTAAAATATTTATTTGGCAATAATTTTAAACACGATGCCTCCAGAAAGAGGGCCAAATCTAAGGGTTACTGGGTTTGTGTTAGGATAGAGCACAACATCACGATTCCTCCATTTGACAACAAAGTATGTTTCATTGGAAGGAAAGCCCACAACCCGTAACATACTCAGTTATGGCCATAGTTCTACAATGATTTTTATCAATGTAAAACATAACATAAAAATAAGAGTTAAGTAGCTCTCTAAGCTGTATCATCAAAAAGAGAACTGTTCCATTTTCCCCCCATCAATTGTTAGGTAAACATTTTGATATCTATCCCACACCATAATGATGAGAATTTTCCATCAGGCATTGTCCATTCCCTGTGCACTATGAAAAACGACAATTTAACTCTTAACTTCCTACTCCACCCTATGTGCCTTCAACACTGATGCAGCCTTCCCATCTCTGGTCATCGTAATACGGTTAAGCTCCACTTTTGGTTATGTCAAAATCCAGTGTTCGCACTTAGCCCGAGGCGAGCACTTTCCACGTACATGAGGTGTGGTCAAGCACGACTGATTTCTGTTTCTTGTCCAGTTCCCTTCCAATCCAAGTCAAGGGCTCATTTGTTTTAGGGGGTGGTTGTTTAGTTTCTATGAGCATGTCATTAATTAACTTCATCAGGTATTCAGTAAAAGTTGTTTCTGGTTTGAAAAAAAAAGATATCCCTTTAATGTTTTATTAGTGAATTTTCAGTAACAGAGCAAGTAGCCATGTGTGTCCACACCACCAGGTTTACCTGGAAGTGTATTAAAATCAAGGTTTTGTCACTATTCTGATTATTTTAACAAGGTTTCTTTACTCACAATCCATCTGTTCTATTATTTTTACATGAGACAATACCCCGGAGCGATCCATGTTGGCGACACCATAGGCTTTTAACAGAAAGTATGAGAAGTGACCATCGTTGCTCCCCGACGCCAGGTCCTCCCGCCCGGCCTTCCCTGGCCCACAGGTGCTGCTCGTCTTCCATCTGGAAGACAGATGACGGCATTTTCCTCTGTTTATAGCATCTTTTATTATGGCATCTTTTGGATGCTGCCTCCTGAATGAAAAAATAGCCCCAATTCAGGCCATAAACCCAATCATGTGAGGAACTAGAGAGAACACACGTGAGCTCTCTCATTTTCACTTGGAATAGAAGCCACGTGACAGGAATGCCATAAACACCCCGTCTGGGGTCCCCCAGGCCTGCGGTGTGGCAGCACTGCCATCTCCAGATTGAAAATGCCATATGCCACTGTCCTGCCCTTCGTGACTCTGTGCCAGCCTGGCTGGGCCAGCGCCCAGGGCTCCCTGCTGCACTGGACTAAAAGCATTTGCTGTTTGAGGGCCCCTGCTTAAAAAAATCCAAGTATTAATAAGTTCAACGCTGCCTGTAAGATCGTATCATCTCACATCTTTATGAACAAATATAGAAGATACATCAATAGTTCTTACCTTCCTTGTACTAATAATTTCATTGTTTCTATGGAGAAGAAATTTTGTGTGTGTAATATATGAGTGACAGATATACTTTAACGGTGGCTCATGTGCCTGAGCTGGCCTCTGCGTGCTGGTGACATGGCCAGCAGGGAAGAGGGCACGCATACCAGAGGGAGGCACAGCTCAAGGACGAAGAAATTTGATTCAGGCTCATTAGACCTAAACCTCTGATAACGAAATCTGTTCTTTTGTTCATTAGCTCCTCATAGCACAGATGCTAACATGAGACAAAGGACTTTCTCTTTTCAACTGCTTTTTGAGGTTTTGTATGATGCATTTACTTAAAATCAGATTTTGAAATGCTGAGAAATGATATGACCAATCTGTTTTATGTTAATGACTAAAATTATGAAGCAATTCAAGTCAGTGGTGAGTAATGATATGACTTAACACTTACCTGTTTGCTACAATTTACCTCTGAACTGTTGCTATAAGTCCTCATATTTGAATGGAACTTGAACAGCATTACATTTAATGTTACAGAAAGAAGTTATTTTAAAAGTAGTTTCAGGAGCTAATTACTATTACTTGCCCCATAGGATTCTTAATATTCTGGTGGCAAATATTAAGTAAAAACAGTTACTGATGTTAATCCCACTTCTGTGTGTGTGTATACATATATGTGTATATGTAGATGAAATCAGGATCTCAGAGAGAGATATGCATTCCTATATCATGTCAGCATTGCTCACAATGGATAAGATATGGAAATAACCTAAGTGTGCAACAATGAATGAAAAGATAAAAAAGATGTGGCGTATGTAATGTATAAGGTCTCATACAAATGATGTCCCCCTTTATTACAAAAATTTTTATTACAAAATCATAAGCATGTAATTCTGTAACATAACAATATAATGCTGAAGCATACCATATGACATTTTAGGTGAAATGTTTAAATTAAAACTATAAATTATTATCTCCATATTATTACCCCCCTACCAACTATACTCAAGCAGGCGTTACTTCTGCCCAATCCAGTATATATGCAGTTTAATTGAAATATATATACACAATGAAATATTATTCAGTAATGAGAAAAAAGGAAATCCTGCCATTTGCGACAACTTGGAACAGACCTTGAGAGCGTTGTGCTAAGTGAAGTAAGTCAGAAAGAAAAAAACAAATCCTGTATGACATCACTTGTATGTGGAACATAAAAAAGATAAACACCTGAAACTAACATAATATTGTATGCCAAATAAAGTTTTAAAAAAGAAGACAGACTCAGAGAAACAGAAAGTAGGGTGGTGGGTATGAACTTCCAGTTATAAGATTAACAAGTTTGGGGACTGTAAGTACAGAATGGTGTTTGTAGCTCATATAACTGTATCATACACTACATTTAAATGCTGCTAAGAGACTAAATCTTAAATGTTGTCACCCCAAAAAGAAATGGTAACTATGTGATGAACAGGAGGTATTAGCTAATACTATGGTGGTAATAACTGGGCAATTTGTTAAATGTTATCAGATCAGCACATGATATACCTTAAACTTAAACAATGTTATATGCCAATTATATCTCAATAAAGCTGAATTAAAGTTTTAAAAACTGAAACTAATGCAAGGACAAAAAAAATAGTCAAAGAAAACAAATTTAAAAAGTGGTTACCACAGAAATTTCAAACAATTCTCCAAGTATGTTCCCCGCGTAGCTTATGTCTCAGTCAACAGTGATAAGGCCATCCACTTAAAATTTTAATCCAGAAACCTGGGAGGCACTCTGCTAATTCTCCTTCTGGGTCAAGTCCTATAGATAGGGGTTCTTGTGTTCCCTCTTTCTTCCCCACTGTCTTATTTTTAATTCCTGCCACATTCACCGCAGGCCTGTTTTCCATAGTTGAAGCCTGTATTTTACTGAAGTTTAATTGTCTAGTTAGAGATTGCCTTGATTTATAGACTGCAAGTTTGTCAAGAGCAAGAACTTTGTCATATTTATTTCACACTACCAATCTTAAGTACAGTAACACTTATTTTTGTGAATGAATGGGTAAATCATGTTGATCAATTCACAAATAAGCTTATTAAAGGGGAATTTGCATAAATTTGATAAACAAATTTCAGTGGTTAGTTGGGGACCCCGGTTTTGCTTTTTATTTTTCCTTTGAAAAAAATAAATCAAGACATGGTGGTGTTAGCATCAAGATATAAAAATTAAGCAGAGGAATGGAATGGAAAGTTCAGAAACAGACCTGCACATATATGGTTTATTCATTTTAGATAAAGGTGCAAAGACAATACAGTGAAGGAAGTAGAGTCTTTTCAGCAAATGGTGCAGGAACAACTGAATGGCCATATGCGATAATTCTAATCAATAACTTGCTTCATCAATGATAATACACTCAAATGGATCATACACCAATATCTAATACCATAAACCTTCCAGAAGAAAACAGGAGGACCTTAGGTCAAGCAAACATTTTCTAGATATGAGGCCAAAAGCATCACTCATAAAAGAAAGGAATAGAAATAAGTTGAATTAATCAAAATCAGGAAGGTCTGCTGTTTGAGAGTCACTGTTAAGCAAATCAAATCAAGCAACGCACTGGGAAAGAATGTTTGCAAATCATGTATCTAATAAAAGACTCATTCGTTATGTTTGAAAAATTAAAACTATTAACTTTCAAGTGTTATGAATAAACATTTCATCAAAGGAGATATACAGATGGCAAAAAAAATGTTAATACTCAAGATAATTTTTTAGAAAAAAATAAATTAAAACCACAAGTAAATCACCACATACCTATTACATAT